TAATAAATAATTCATCGTTCTACAGTGTCCTGGGGCACTATTTGTGCTAAGGTAACCTTGTGTAGCTTGGTCTGTATTCCGTTACGTTAAACGAACTAATAATTTAAATATTAAAGCAAATATTGCTTTAAATGGAATTCTGTGAAAAGTATTGTAATCGAATTATTCGATTATATAAGTTGAGTTGGGTTTTTAAGAGAATTTTGGGACTTTATTTTTAAGATAAATATTTTTGAGACATCGAAATCTGCCTCTACAAGATTCTTTTTCAAGTGCTTTTTATATCTCTTTCATTACTAACTCTTCTATCTATTTTAGATACTTATTTATTAGACTACTTTTACTATTGTTACGATCTTATGCATGATGATCATATGCGTAATGATTTTATGTGTAACAATTTATGCGTAATGATCGTATGCATAATGATGTTATGCGTGACGATTCTACTAATGCAAATTGGATATATAAACTTACAAACGATACTTAAATAAATAAATATATAGATACATAATTTAAGAAGTAGATAATAATGGAATACTGTAATATTAACAATAAAAATAAAATGTAATTTTAAACGAGAGATTCGCCGGGGCAATGTGATTGTTGCTATTCGTCGATGTCACGTGATCGTTGTCATTCGTCGAGGTTACGTGATCGTTGTGGTGCGTAATGCTCTACCTAAAAATAATTAATTATGTTACACTTCCCTCTCCTTTAAAGCACGAGGTCTCCCGAGTAACATAATATTTTATGATAATCTCTGTTAGAAATTTTCCACTTGATACTATTTTAATTTTACCGTCTCTTTGATACATTTTTAAACATATATAGTAGGTTCCCACGAAGGACGGTTATAATATTTTTTTAGCCGATCTGTGTTGATTAAATTTTTCATAACCTTCCCTTCTAGTGTCCGTAATTTGTATGTTCCGAGTGCACCGTAATCGTGGATGTAATAAGGTTCTTTCTACTTTTCTCTTAACTTGTCTCCATATACTTTTTCTTTTGCGGATTCGTATAATAAAACCTGATCACCAATCTTAAACTCTATAGGTTTTATTTTTGCATTGTAATATTCTTTCTGTTGACTTTAGGCTTCTTGGATATTACGTTGGGCGTAAAGTCTTTGGTCATTTAATTGTCTTGTGATTTTTGTAATATGTAATTATAATGATTGTTCTAATGATGCTTTTTGAGTTTCTCCACTTCCTTGTAGTTGTAGATCTAGTGGTGTTGTAATATTTCGTCTATACATTAGGTAAAAAGGGTCATATTTAGTAGTGTGATTTTGTAGGGTTTGATATGCAAATAAAGCAGCAGATAGAAAGGTATTTCAAGTGATTTTATAATTACCAATGAGCTTTGCTAGAGTGGAACAAAGAGTTTTATTGAATCTTTCAGTTAAACCATTAGTCTGGGGTGATAAGTGGCTGCTAATTTGTGTCAGATGGACATAATTTCATATAAAGCATCAACTATTTCATTACAAAAGGAACGTCCTTAATTGAAAAGAAGTGCCTTTGGGCAACCATGTTGGCAAATAAGGTCTTCGTATATAAATTGAGCTATCGTAGGGGCTGTCATATCAGGAATCGCACGAGCTTCAGGTCACTTGGTTAGATATTCTGTGGCTATGATAATATAACGATTTCTGCTTTTAGTAATATCTTTGAAAGGTCCTACTATATCAATTCCTACCCTGTTGAATGGAGCTCCAACTTCTAGAGGATGAATTCTTCATGTAGTCAGGGTGTTTCTTGTCGTTTTCACACATCCCAAGTTTGAACATATTCACTAATAGCTTTATACATTCATGGCCAGAAATACTTATTTCTTGCTTTATTATAAGTGGATTCGGTTCTGAAATGTCCTGCTGTTGTATTAGAATAGATTCCGTATAATACCTTTTCCAATTCATCTTTTTGGATCACTCTTAGAGGAGGACCGTCGATAACTTTATTCTTGCGATACAAAAGTTTTTTATCAAGGAAATAGTGGGCAGCTTGTTTCTTGAACTTCTTTTGTTGTCCTATATTCAGTCTTTTAGAGATTTTGGCGATTTCAAGATATGTTTTAAATTGGTGGTATTGTTGTAAGTCCATCTTAAAATTGAAACTTTCTTCTTTTTTTTTTTTTTTTTTTTTTTTTTTTTTTTTTTTTTAATCAATTAGACGCCAGGACACCGTAACCTGGACTGGATTAACAGATTTTCAGTTAAGTGTTTTTTTTTTTTTTTTAACTTTCTTATATATGTCAACTTAATATTAATTAATTTCTATTCTTTTTTCTCATGGGGGCTTGTGAGGAATTCTTGATAGGACATCGACATTGGAGTAAGCAGTACCTTTTTTATAACGAATTGTGCAAGGATATTCGGCGGCAATCATAATCCACCTCGCAAGTCTACTGGTAGGTTGTGGGTTGTTCAAAAGCCATTTCAAGGCCTGGTAATCCGTAACTAACTCTAATTCTTTTCCATAGATATAGAGGCGAAAGTATTGCATGGCCCAAATAGCAGCTAGGTATTCAATTTCGGTGGCAGAATAATTTTTCTCGTGATCGTTTAATTACCTACTTGCATAGGCCACCACATATTCCTTATTATTGTCGTCTTTTTGGGCTAGAATAGCACCTAAGCCTATGTATGAGGCGTCAGTATATAGAATGAAAGGCTTGTTAAAGTCAGGGTGACATAATATAGAGGCTATTATTAGCCTTTGTTTTAATCTTTCAAAGGCTTCTTGATAGCGGTTATCCCAGTTATAAGGAGTGTTCTTCTTTAATACCGTATTTTTCTGAAAATAAGCTACCACCGAAAATAAGCTACCTTTCATTTTTGGAAGAAAAACGTAAAAACCTCTTTAGCCCGAAAAT